GAAACAATATCTTTATCTAACTGCATATAACAAGTCAAAAGGAAAAGTGTTCATTTTAGACAACTACATTTTTCATGACACACTTTTGCCCTGGAAACCTTTTTCATACTTCCTTGCAAGGGTAAAAAGGTTTAAAGAGTCTTCATCTCACATAACAATCTTATGTGAGCCTTGTGCAGCGTGTGGTTTTCTGTCACATGGCAATGGATGCAGAGAGACTTTCAGTTTATGAAATGTAGCTGTCTTGAAAGCAATGTTTTCCTCACCCTAGTGATTTTTTTCTGCCCAGCTGTTTTCGCCAGCATTTAGGCTGCGCTTCTCAGTATGTCTCCATAGCCCTCTGGGTTTTACCATACAGGATCAGAGAGGAGCACTTTTTCCTTCTTCCCACCTCAGCCAGGAACTTGATTTGAAAAACCCTGGAGACTGACAGAGAGACCACCATGACAGCCATTTGCTGTCTCACTGACAGAAGGGCAGGAGCAGGACAGCCAGGATGGAGCAGTACATATCCCCACACATGCACACACACTGCTGTGATCATTCCCAGCACGTGAGGTCAGGCAAGCATTATGTAAAATTACAATGAGTATAAAAAGGCTAATCTAATACCAACTGCATTAAATACTTATGTTGGGTAATAATATCCCCAGGACAAGAAAGAGCCTTGCATAAATGTCAGAAATGGAGTAAACACCCAGACAGCTTATATTAATACATCATCTGCACTCCTGCTCTTGGGATTTGTTTGCTTTTTGATGTGGATCAGGATCTGACTCCAAATACAGGGCATTAAAATCAAAGCAGCAGCAGCAGCAGTAGCCAGCCTGAGAACCCTGTGTGAGACAGCTCCATCTGGATCTCATCACGGAGAGACATGAGCAGTGATGGAGCAGAAGACACATTGCTACTCTGTTGGAATGCAGCTTCCTACCTAATGCAGAGGTAAAACTCCAAATGGTTTCTGTGGCTCAGCCTCAGCCTGAAGAGCAAATACATGCCGGTGAGGTGACACCTGATCCTCTGCTTTTCATGCACACTCCTTCCTGCACTACCTGGTGCTGCAATCTCTCTTGAGAAAGCAGAAAACCACTTAGAGGCAGGAACTTTCAGTGTCTGTAATATCAAGCCACATTACCAGCACCTTTACAGCCTTGCCTTGGGTTAGACACATGCTTATTCTACAAAGAACTGGAGGTGACTTAAGATATTACTGTTCTCCAGATGCACGTCACCCTCCTTCTCCTCACTCATGTGAGGTAGGATTCTCACTCCTACCACCAAGAGGACAGAAGATGCAAGTGTTCCTCATCCACCTTTGTTCAGAGTCCATTGCCTGAGCTTAAACTGCAGGGAAAGGTGATGTGACATTGTGCTACAGTATCCTTCCCATCCCATCAGCTCAGCTGGGGAGGCAGAAGTTTCCAGAGGTGGAGGAAATTGAGTAGCTGGGGCTAGGGCATCTTAAACTGGCTTAATAAGACCCAAAGAGGAAGCTGTTCCACATCCTTAAATATCTTACATATCCTCTAAACTTAATCAAGATTTGTCTTCTACTGTACACATGTAAATATGTTTATGCCCCAACCCAGCATTCAAATCCACTTTTCTCGTGGCTCACGAGTGAGGATCTCCCCAGTTATACAACCCAGAGTAGTCAAACGCAGCACAACTCTTGTGCTACCCAATAGCTCTGTACATATTGCAGAGGCTATAGTCAGGTAATTACCCAAGAGTCTGAGATTTAATTTTTAAGCATATTGCTAGCTTTCATCACAATGCAGTGAGCTTATAAGCAGACAATGAATGTTCCAAGAGCAGACAGCAGATAAAAAGAACAGAAAATGCATTGCTTTAGGTTGTTGGTGGTGGTGGTTTAATCTTGTAATTCTAAACATTTTAAAGGCAGTATTGTTTTGTGTTTTTGTTTGTTTGTTTGTTTTGTTTTGTTGTTGTTGTTATAAATGAGGTCTGAATTCAATCTGAATTTTGTAATATTTGTAAAACAAATTTTGTAATATTTATAAAACAAATAAATTTGTAATATTTATAAAACAAATATTTCTAAAAAGTATAAAAGCTATAAAAGGTATAAAAGGCAAGTAAACAGCGCTGGGTGTGCGGGGAGTCTACACTCCACCAACATGCACACACACACATCAAACATTCTAAATAAATGTATACAGAACATTGCTTTACATAATAACCCGAGTATGCCTATACATACATACAATCAGGATAGGCAACACCCAATCCTTTAAGTTCCATAACTTAACAGTCTCCATTTTCCATTCCTTTTCTTGCTTCAGGCATTATGTATCCCATCATTCTTCCCAGATCGAAGAAAAGCATACCCATCTCCTTTTCAAGGCCAATAGGGCCTGGGTCCAAAGGAACCTATCTTCATGAGGCAATCAATGTGCCTACTCCCATCCTGGTCTCCATTCTGCCAGCCTGTTCCTCTTCACTTCTTTTTCCTGCTTCTTTATTGATGTAACTTCATGGTGCTGCCTTTTTTATCTTGAGGGCAAGCTCCCCTCTTATACCCTTCTCTCCACTGCAGTTCTTTTCAAAACAACTTTTCATTGGTCAAACAACTTTGCATGTAACAACAATAGCAAACACCCAGAAACATCCATGCCTTAATGGCTGGAGAACAAGAGAACCAGCTGGAGAACAAGAAACCGGAGACTGCATGGAGTCTCCTGAATCACCCTTCTTTGTTCCCTCTAAACTCTTTTATATTCCTGATGGCCTTGTCGTTAAGAGTCTAATGTTATCTCAATCATGGGGTTTTCCAACCCCCATGGCCACATTCCTAAATCTCCCCCTTCTGTATTAATATCAACCATTTTCTCGACACTAATTACCACTCCATTCAGAAGACTCCATGCAGTCTCAGGTTGCTTGTTCTCCAGCCATTAAGGCATGGAAGTTTCTGGGTGTTTGCCATTGCTGTTATTTGCAAAGTTGCTTGTCCAATTAAAAGTTGTTTTGAAAAGAACTGCTGTGGGGAGAAGGGTATAGGAGGGGAGCCTGTCCTCAAGATAAAAAATAAGTCAACGATATAATGAAGTTATGTCATCAATAAAGAAGCAGAAAGAAAGAATGAAAAGGAACAGGCTAGCAGAATGGAGACCAGGACGGGAGCAGGCACATTGATTGCCTCATGAAGATAGGTTCAGCCAGACTCAGCAAACTGCTCAGAGAAGCTTGTACTGAAAGTCATTGGAAATGGCGCACCGGAACTGGAAAGAAGCTCGAGCTGAGAGAAGCGGACCTGTGCACACAACTGCCTCTCGCTGGTGAGCAGTTGCGCATTGTGGGGAATCATATGTCCTTAGAAACAAAGACTGTCCTGGTAACCTTACAGCTTATTCTCCTTATTAACAATCGGACAGTTTATGATCCTGAAATATGGGACCAAACTGAGGTCAAGGTGTGGGACTCTGCAACTAAAAATGGCAAGGTTGCAGTGGGATTGCTCAGCACCTGGTAAGCAATCTCTGAGGCCTTAAAGAGCCATGTGGGGCCACAGTCAGAAGCATGTGGTTTGCCAGATAGTGATGGAGCTGCAGGCTCCTTTACTGATGCGACTGCTACGCCATTGGTCCCTCTGCTGCTACAGCCATCGAAGGCTTTTGCTGTTACACCCCCTGGTGACCTGGACGTGCCTTTGGACCCAGGCCCTATTGGCCTTGAAAAGGAGACGGATACGCTTTTCTTCGATCTGGGAAGAACAGGATACATAAGGCCTGAAGGCCGAGTTGCTTGACAACTTAAAGCAAGACATACTGTTCAAAAGGAATGGAAAATGGAGACTTGTTAGTAATCAAGAAAAGGAATGGAATATTAAGTCATGGAACTTAAAGGATTGTTTGTTACCTTTTCTGATTGTATATATACTTGGGTTTAGTATGTAAAAGCAATGTTCTGTATATTTAGAATGTTTGATGTTCGTGTGTGCATGTTGGTGGAGTGTAGACTCCCTGCACATCCAGCTCTGTTTACTTGCCTTTTATACCTTTTATAAATATTTCTTTTATAACTATTACTAAATTCAGATTGAGTTGAGACTTCATTTAGAACAGACTGAAAAACCTACTTTTTTTTCTTTTTTTTTCTGTTAATTCTCACTGCAGTTACCTTTAGTTTGCCAGAGCTATGACTCTGCCCATACCCTGCCTAACTTTCTAGTTTCCTGAATGAGGGCCTGAGTAGTATAGAGCCCATCATGGCTCTGGTAGTACTGGGCACCCTACGTACATGCAGTGAATGCTCCCTGAACTGGTGGCAGTTCCAATCTCCTTGTGTAGCTGCACCTTTGCCAGCATGGAGGTATTCCACATGGAAATGAGAGAAATTTTGCATAACAGCATGACAAGGCTATGTCAGCAGGACTTTGCAGCCCAGACATAACATCACTCGGTGCTCTTGTGTTGAAATTCCAGCTTGGTCTGGGGATGTTTAGGCTATGTACCTTTCTTTTTTTTTTTAATGTAACGTATTTCTTTTGTTCAGTTCAAGGTAGCACTCCAGTAAAACTGGATTTATCAAGTATTCTTGTGCGTCTCTCTCTTTTTTTTTTTTTTTAAACTTAAAACCTACATTTCTGTCCTATGCAAAGGACAGTCATGCTCTGCTAAGGCTGTGTTAACATGTTGGTCAAAACTAAGGGGACTCTCATTGGTAAAGGGGTACAGGAACGTGGATAAAATGCTGCTGCAGAGAGATTCTGTTCACATAGCTTGTTGCTAACACTGCATGCACTTGCTCAGTATAAAAGCAGAGAGATAGAAAGTCAATAATGCAACCAGGTGGGAAAGGAAAAACAAGTTTGATTTGAAAATTCTGCAGAGATACAAGCAAAGATCAGCTGAGGACCTGAATTGGAGCTTCAGTGAGGAGCCATCCTAAAATAAAAGGAAGTAAGGGAGAGCACCTGGGAGCTGCCATTTGAAAGAAGAAGCAATCAGAAAAGGGATAAAAAACTACCAGGGTTGTCTCTAGAGCTTCCTAGAAAGCTCATCCATTTTATTAAATAACAAGATCCCATGAAACAAAAACAGTCTTAGCTCTACTTGCTGCTTCACATCATTTTTTTCTTCTCCATGCTCTCTTCCAAACAAGCCAACCAAGAAAAAATGTTTCATTTCTGAAGAGCCCTATATCAAAATAACTATTGCCCTGCTCCGAAAGCTTTGTGATGGAGAAGCCCCAGGGCCACTGGGACCTGGTCAGTAAGAAGTGCTCACGTATGCAGGGGCAGCAGTATACAGCCAGATACCAGCACAGGATCACAGAAAGACACAGGACTAAGCAGCAGATCACAGGATAACAGGACAACCCGGGCTGCGGCGGTGCATTTGAAGAATCAGGGTGGGAGACATCTGCTCAGCACTGCTTTGGTTTATACAAATGCAAATGTTAACCATAGCCTTTGAAGTATAACCCTAATGCCCATAGCTATCTTTGAAAACACCATCTTTTGTCCAAATGTATGACTCTGCAAGTGGCCCATTTATTTCCCCAGCAGGTTTCAGCTTCTCAAAAGTTTTGTTTTTCAGGTGCCTTTATAAACACACACCTTTTCTCCACTGCTCTCTTCCCATTCCATAATAAATTTGTGTGGCAGCAGGATTGCATCTGTGAAGAACAGAAAAGTAATTTCAAATAAAACACATCTTTAAAACACTTCTTAGATGCAATTGCCAAGCCTCTGGCAACAAGTACAGTTGTCTAGGGCTCTGATATTATGCCATAAATTACCTAGCCAACAGCACCACAAGTAGAAAAAGTTCAAGAAAAAATAGCAATAAAAAAAGAATGAAAATAAAAAGTTGTCTTTCTCCATCCCTAAAATGCCAGAGTAGCAATGTTACAGAAGGAAATTACAGTGATTTTATTTTTTTAAGGGGGTCAGATGTGAAATTGTATTACAGACCCAAATATTTCTGGGTGATCAAGTCTGTTCCCAACCAGATCAGTATTCTACAACACATAACTTGTGAGCTGTATAGGACATCACAACCAGTTCTCATAAAAAGGTCATCCTCCATGAAAAAAAAATGTTCCTCATTTAAAATGTATTTTAAGAATGAGAGGGAAAACAGAAGAAATCCAAATGAAAACCTGTATTTTTTTTATTATTAATTTTGATATTTTGAATGGGTTTTAAAAAGCATTTCTGGAAATAGCTAGACTGGCATAATTGTCTTTACATACCAAATGCAGTTGCCAAGACAGGGACTATAATCACACCAGTTTGTTTCAATCTGTCCAGGAGTCAGTATATTTAGAAACAAGGACAAAGTTCAGTTTCCTCTGGCTGAGAAGATTAGAGCCGTTGAGAAATGTCATATTCCAGTCAACAACTAATCATATTCATTTTCAAAATACATCAAAACACAGACAAAACTAGGTTGTAATTAAAACAAGCAATCACAAAAAAAAATCAGTAGGGTTCCATTGAAATAAACTATGTCCGTAATTTCAAAATGTTACCTTCAGATTTCAGTTTTACATATTCACTGAATAAAAGACAATTATAATTGTAAGCCAAAATCTGAAATAATCATTTTGTTAAATTTCTGGAAAACCAAAGCCTTTACAAAATCACTTTTTTCTATTAATTCATTCAGATACGAGAAATTGATGTTGTCCGATGACAAACTTTCTGATTTAAAAAAAAAATGTTATAAATGAAGTCTCAACTCTGAATTTAGTAACATAAAAGAATATTTATAAAAGGCAAGTAGACAGCGCTGGGTGCGTGCGGAGTCTATGCTCTACCAATACGCACACGCAACTGTCGAACTTTCCAAATATATATAGGACATTGCTGTTACATATTTACAAGAAACCCGAGTACGCCTATACATGTGGATATCCTATCCCCGCTTCATATTATAATTCTCTTTGTGGTGGTCGTTGTGGGTGAAAGGCTCACGGTTTCCCCATCACCATTATCAACCTTTTGTTCCAGACTGCAAGAGCGGCTTCGACTGTCTCCCTCTTCTTCTGCACACGCTGTGCCCACCACAAGGTTCCCGAAAGCAACAAAACGTGATTGCTTTTCCCGGGTTTCATTAACACTTGAAACCACACTAAACAATAAATGTTAACAGTTCTAACCAGCAATCCCCTCCCCTCCCCCGCAACTTCCGTGCCTTAACAGAGGGGAAAACAAGCAATCCCAGATGGCAGGGCGTCGCCTCAATCACCCTTCTTTATTTCCTCTAAACTCTTTACATTCCTGATGACCTCATCGTTAAAGAGTTTGATGTTATCACCAGCCACGAGGCTTTCCGCCCCCCATTGCCACATTCCCAAATCTCCCCCTTCTTTATTAATATCAACCATTTTTCTGACACGAATTACCACTCCATATATAACAATAATAATCTCAAAAATCTCCACACATTATTATAATTTGGAATCAACATTTTGAATCGCCAACTGAAAATTAAGATAAAACCCTATCTTACAGAAATCTCAAATCAACCATTGCTTGGGAAGAGAAAGTGGGTTCTTGATTTCCATAAACTCAGAATGAAGGAGTTTGTTGTCTTTACTTCCATCACCATTTCAAGCCATAGAAGACACATTTTAAGAGTTCAAGAAGCTTCTAGTACTAGTGGACAGATTTGTTGTTGTGATTCCTTTGACTTCTGTTTCTCAGTGTTAATTTTTAATTTGAATGACAGCAGTTCAGTACAACCTGTTCCTGTGACCCAGTTGATGAAGTTATTAAAAACATAAAAGACTGCACGTAGTCACACTCGAGTGATGTGTTGAAGGAGCTTATTTACACAAAAATTGAGAGACTTAAGGGGAAAAAAAATAATAATAACTGCAGGTGTTTGTAGGGGGGTTATTTTACTTTATAGAACCTGACCATATCTCCCAGGAATTATTTTTTAAGTAGCAATATCAAAACAAAACAAAAGATGGCAGCATTGGTAAAGCATCTCACCACTCAGCCCTGTTCCATTTTCTGTGCCGCCCTAGATCTGTTCAATACATTGCTTCCATGTTGCTAAAAGTCCAACCTCAAAAATGTTCTGATTAAACATTCCCTGACTTGCTGTCATTTTGTGGATTTTGCTTATATGTGGACAAAAGAGGTATTGGAAAAGAAGGAATAACTACTGTTCTTACTGGAACATCAGCCAGTCCTCAAATAATGGAATTGTCAGGCACATTGCTGGTATGTGTGTAATTATGATTAGTAATTATTTGTCTTACAGCAGACCCCGAGTGTTCCAGTCAGAACTACATCTAATTGTAGTGTTGCTGCAGAAGCATATATTAAAAGGCAGTCCCTGCCACAAAAATTTACAATGTAGATTAGGACACAGAATGAAAACTCACTAAATCACTGAAAGGAATGGCAAGAGTACAAAGATAATAGAGAAAAATCATGCTGCATATGATAGTCCACCCTCACATATGCATCTTGTAGCAATATGAAGATGTATGGTAAAGAAATAATAATAATAATAAATAAAAATAAAAATAGAAAGAACAATCATACTTTATCTAAAGATACTTCTAATTATATTTAGAGTCTGTCACCTCAGTGTGTCCAATGTTTTTTAAAATCTAGCCATCTGAGTCTTATTCAGATATAGAAAAATGGTTGCACACTACAAGCTAGACTGTTTGATTTCAGTAGTACTTCAGCCCACCATAAATGTAAACATTTGGTTGGGCTGTGCCCTAGATGGTCTGAGGTTCAATCTGAACGGTGAACAATGACTGCAAAGCACTTAAAACACATGAAAATCTGGAAGAAAATCAAGCACATTTTCACAACTTTCACCCACTACAGGAACGCATGTACTTCTGAAGTGACTGTCCACCATGGGATCCGCTGTCAAATGTTATTGTCAAGACCATTTTGGGTATGCAATGTATTCATGACAGTTGTTAGAAGTTTTGTTAAAGAAATAGCTTTGAGAGCATTACAGTCATCAAACTAACTCTATGGACACACAAGCTAGGTATATTGTCTTTGACTCCATCATTTAAGTGTAACATAACCACCCTGTCTTAGGGCTGGGAAGTCTGTTGGGACAAGTGAGTTGTACCCATACATCCACAAGCACCAGGAAGAGGAACCAGTGATCCTACTGCAGAGGATGCCCAGGCATGTACCCCCACAGGGCTGGAGGGAGACATCAGAGGACCAGGAGTCCAGTCTAGGGGCAGAGTGGTGCTTTCCCTCTGCACCTCTCAGGCTGAGACTTCATCAGACACCTCAGACAGTGTAAGAGCTTGCTGCTTCCAAAGGGGGAGCTCCACTCCTTCCCACCTATCCATATGGTCTTCCATACCAATTTATATGGTCTAACCCCTACAGCATCCAACTAGCCCTTTGGTCAATCAGTGTGTCTTGCTCAGGTGCAGAAAACAAACCTGACAGAACAGCAACAATGGTTTTCTGCTGTTTTTGTGAGTGTTCAGATCACTAAAAGTCAGGCAAGAGTATGGGGATAGAGGCACATATGGAAGCAGAAGAAGGGAAAGCAGGACTGACCCTCTCAATAGCCACAAGCAGTTAGATCAACTCAACTACCATGTGAATCATCACCCGTAATTGATATCTGAAGACTACAAACAAGATATTTTCAAGTAACATCATCATATGTGACTCTGTATGCTACTGATAATGATATAAACCTTAGCAGAACTACCAATCAACTTAGATTCATAGTTTCACAGTAGACTTAAAACATTGTTGTTCAAAAGTGCATTCCAAATGTTTCTATCCTTCTCTGCACTTCAGAAATGCTACGGACTGATTTGCTTTTGTATGAAATGCATTGTCATCTAATCATGCTACAGTGTTTTAATGGAAAGATTAGTTTGATTTTATCAATATCATCTAACCACATCAAATCATCTTACAACAAATCACCTAACTACACGAAACTACATCAAAGTAATCTCACTTACCAAGTAAGATTATGTTCTGTATTCCACATAGTCGTGTATACTTGCCTTTCAGAAGCAAGGTTCATACATTCACCCTCAGAAAGAAATCTCAGAGATTCACCAAGAGGAAGAAAGGAGGAACCTTTGAGAGGAACCTTTGAGAGGTTCCTCAGTGCAGACCTTACATGAAGCAAACAACAAATACAGTCAGTGTCCACTTTTCAACACTGTATTTTCCACAACTTCAGGAAAAAGAAAGCTAAGAGCTGAAAGTTCACATTTGATATCACATTCCACAGAAGATATTCAAGAAAGCAGCAGACAAATTTAACCACAAATTTTACATGTTCTGCGTATGCCTTTGTGTTTCATTTAGTGTACAGTTTCCTCATCTTCAATTAAAAAATTAGGTTTGTTGGTTTTGAAATGACTTGTTTGATAAATCCTAAGGGTGATTGTCTAAACGGTGGGGCTAAGAAATGTCTTGCCAAATTCTATTTGGATTTCAGTTTTCTATCATCTGTAAAATACTAAGCCCACACTTATCTGATTGCGATAGTTAAAATTGCAAGCTACTTAGATGGCCACTTGCCGAGGCGATTGGCTCTGGGGCAGACGCGTTCTGCAGGGAGCAGGGGATCGGACAGGCAGTGATAATTTTTCCAGCACCGAGCCCACTCGAGGGAGCCACCAGGACCTGGCAGCCCTCGAGAGGGAGGTGAACGAGGCGAGAACGAGGCGAGAACGAGGTGTAGGTGAAGCCAGCAGTGCCCCCTCCCCGGCCATTCAAAAGCTGCCCCTAGGGAGCGCTGCAACCAGGACGGGCAAACAGCGCGTGGCGCCTCAGAAGGGAGTGGCGCGGCAGTTCACTCAGGCAGGGCGAGCAGGAAGGGCAGAGCGTTTCCCCCCGCCCATACGAACGACTCCTCTAACGGCGGTCTACCGCTAGCTCAGCTGCAATGGTGTACACCAGGCACAGCGCACTCTCCAGGAAGTCTGTACACACCCAGACCGACTGCCCCCTCACAACTGTGGCAGTTCAGGTCTCCGGGTGCAGGGAGTGCCTGAGCCTGTTGCTACCACCTGTGGGGGGCAAAGAGACTGTGCGTGAGGTGCAGGCAGGTGGACGACCTGGTCTGCCTTGTGGCAGAACTCAAGGAGGAGGTCGAGAGGTTGAGGGATATCAGGGAGTGTGAGCAGGAGATAGACTTGTGGAACAACTCCCTACGCAGCCTGAAGGACAGGTACCAGGGTGAGACACCCCAAATGGGGTTGGACCCCCTGCCCTGCTGCTGTCAGGCAGAGGCAGGGGACCTAGGAGTTGAGGAGGAATGGAAACAGGTCCCTGCTCGACATCGCAGGTGATGCCCCCCCCCACTGGCCCCACCTTCCCAGGTGCCCTTACACAACAGGTTTGAGGCCCTGTAGATTGAGAGACCGGTAGCTGAGGAAGAGGCAGTAAGTCTACCCAGGAGGATGCCTGGGGTGAGGAAGTCGACTCCACACCTAGGGACTGCCTCCACCAGGACAGAAGGAAGGGTGATTGTTGTGGGCGACTCCCTTCTCAGGGGAACAGAGGGACCTACTGGTCGGCCTGACCCTACCCGTAGGAAAGTCTGCTGCCTCCCTGGGGCCAGGGTCAGGGATGTTGCCAGAAAGCTTCCCAACCTGGCTCACCCCTCTGACTATTATCCTCTTTTAGTAGTCCAGGCTGGCAGTGATGACACTGAAGAGAGAAGCCTGAAGAACATCAAATGGGACTTTAGGGGACTGGGACTGTTAGTGGATGGAGTAGGAGTACAGGTGGTGTTTTCGTCCATCCCTGCGGTGGCAGGGAGGGGTACAGAGAGGACACGGAAAGCCCACCTGATAAACACGTGGCTCAGAGGCTGGTGCCAACACAGAAATTTTGGGGTTTTTTTGACCATGAGGCGCTTTACTCGGCACCCGGACTGATGGCCGCAGAGAGGTCCCTATCTCTAAGGGGAAAATGGATCCTGGGCCAGGAGCTGGCGGGGCTCATTGAGAGGGCTTTAAACTAAGTGAGAAGGGGGACAGGACTGAAACAAGGCTTGTTAGAGCTGTGCCAGGGGGAACAATGACAAGGCTGGGAGAGAAGGCAATGGCCCAGCTGAGGTGTATCTACACTAATGCGTGCAGCATGGGTAACAAACAGGAGCTGGAAGCCATCGTCCGGCAGGCAGGCTATGACTTGGTTGCCATCACGGATATGTGGTGGGACCACTCTCCTGACTGGAGTGCTGCTATGTCTGGCTATAGGCTCTTCACAAGGGACAGGCAGCATTGAAGACGTGGTGGTGTGGCTCTCTATATCAGAGAGAGCTTTGATGTCATGGAACTTGAGGTTGGGAATGATAAGGCTGGGCCGAGGTCAACTACATGAAGTTCAACAAGGCCAAGTGCTCCTGCACCTGGGGCACAATAACCCCAAGCAGAGCTACAGGCTGGGAGATGAGTGGTTGGAAAGCTGCCAGGCAGAGAAGGACCTGGGAGTGATGGTGGACAGTCGGCTGAATATGAGCCATCAGTGTGCTCAGGTGGCCAAGAAGGCCAACAGCATCCTGGCTTGCATAAGAAGCAGTGTGGCCAGCAGGTCTAGGGAAGTGATTGTCCCCCTGTACTCGGCTCTGGTGAGGCCACACCTTGAGTACGGTGTTCAGTTTTGGGCCCCTCGCTACAAGAAGGACATTGAGGTGCTCCAGTGAGTCCAGAGAAGGGCAACAAAGCTGGTGAGGGCTCTTGAGAACAAGTCCTATGTGAGGAGCAGCTGAAGGAGCTGGGTTTGTTCAGCCTGGAGAAAAGGACGCTCAGGGGCAACCTTATCGCTCTTTATAAGTACCTTAAAGGAGGCTGTAGCGAGGTGGGGGTTGGTCTATTCTCCCACGTGCCTGGTGACAGGACGAGGGGGAATGGGCTTAAGTTGCACCAGGGGTGTTTTAGGTTGGATATTAGGAAGAACTTCTTTACTGAGAGGGTTGTGAGACATTGGAATGGGCTGCCCAGGGAAGTGGTTGAGTCACCATCCCTGGGTGTCTTTTAAAGACGTTTAGATGTAGAGCTTAGTGATATGGTTTAGTGGAGGACTTGTTAGTGTTAGGTCAGAGGTTGGACTCGATGATCTTGAGGTTTCTTCCAACCTAGACATTTCTGTGATTCTGTAACATGCCTCTATCTCTGGAAGAAAGATTGCTAGGCTTATGCAAAGTCTCTTGAAATTCTGAAACCCATTTGTCTTGTGTGTCTAGATCTTTTAGATTACCTGTTTTCTCCATCTGAGATGCCACCTTTGTTAATAACAAAACAACCAGCTCTGGGTTCATTTCAGGCTATGACATTGTCCTAATTCCAAGGCACTCTGCATATTTTACAGTGGTACTCTTGGCACCTGAGAACCTTCTTGATAGAATTATGAATAAAAATCACAAGAATGTATGCTACATTGGCCTGACTTTTATTCATCAATGGTGTTAAAGATGTTTCAAGCCATAAACCTGATAATCCAGAACCCATCCCATGTTGGATTGATTCCAGAATAATGAAGGAACTGTTGACTATATTTTCTCCCATATTTCTGTTCTCCTGGAAGTACACACAACTTTTAAATAATAAAAAGGCTTTTGACAGTGTGGAGTGGCCACATAGTCAAAATTCTGAAGGAAAGCTTTTTGAAGAGCTTATTTTAATTGTCTGAGCTAATTTGCAGATAAGTTCTAATGTTTGTGAACTTCAGACAGATTATAGGAATCTTTTTATTTAAAAAAAAAAAAAAAAAAGATTTCTCTATATATATAAATATTATATATATGACAAGTATCAGTACTTGCTCTAAAAATACCTGCTTTTATTCACATAGTAACAAAGAGAAAACATTAGCCTTTATATAAACATTCTTTTGCATGTGGGCAGTGGAGATGCACTCTGCTCTAATGCTGATGAAAATACAGATGTTCTCCTGCTAAAATAAAAATATAACTTGTGAGGAGTGTTACTGTCGAATTAAAAAATAAATAAATAAATATTTTCTTCTTGCTTCTTTCAGAATATTCTTTATTGGTTTTAAGAGGCTTCAAATTGAAACAAATACTGGCATTCCTCAAAAATGATGAAAGATAACTAATCTTTCAGCTATTTGAGAGCTTAATTTTCTAAAAAGTTGTGTTGAATGCTGTATATTTCTTAGAGTTGTATTTTTGGTATGAATAACAAATGATGTCATTTTGAAATTTTCCTTCTACTACTGGGGAAAAATAATAAAATAAAATATCTTTCTTAAACTGTAAAGGTAAATATAGAGTTGCCTAATGTCAGTGCCTCATTAATATTTAATACTTTAAAATAATTAGGTAATTACATTTGAACCCATTAGTTATTTAAAAGATAGAAAATGCCAGACTTTTGCTCACATGCGCATATAACACTTCCCTTCATAGACCAGTATTATCATAGCTATTCAAACTTCAAATGTTTGTTAGTCTCATGTTAAATAAATTATAATATGTTCTTTATGGTGTTAAAAATTAAACACTAAGTAATAGCTAACAAAATATTTTCTTAAAAAAAAATAATTTATAGTAACTTTATCTTTTTATATTTTATTTTTACAAAGATAATTTATTTGCCCATATGAATAAGTTTTGCAGCTATGGAAAGATAAGAATCTGCTTCACAGTAATTGAGACATACTTACATAACGGTGTTGTGTTTTTTTCCCCTAGTGAAACGCCCTTTGAACTCACAGAAAAACGGTCAAAAATATGCTGAAAGAGGTAAATCAAACAAAGATTAAATTAGCTTGAAGTAGTACAAAATATTATCTATCAGAAAAATCAGTCATAGAAACAATGTCTCTAAAGACATCCATTGGAATTTTTAATCCAAGAATGAATATTATTTTGAAACTTTAAACAGAAACTACCAAGTTTGGTTAAAAAAAAGGGGGAAGGGGGGGCAGTTCCACAGCCTACTGAAGCAGGAGGACAGAGGTATGTCATTTTCACATCCACCCTTAAAGTGTATTACATTGAGAATAATTATCAAAACTGTGTATTTATTTTCTTGATTTAATAATTTTACCAGCACTTATGTAGAAAAGAGTGTGTTTTTTCCTTTCACTTGTTGCCCCATTGCTATATTTTAGCAGTACAGTCTTATGAATAGAAGGATATATAACATCGTTTGGCAGTCTTTTTCAAAAGTTTACTCCTACCTCAGAACATCCTAGTCCCACTACACACACAGGAGAAAATATCCAAAATTGCCAAAAGCCTGTGCAGGTTCTTCATTTGTAATCCAGGAAGAGAAATTAATTGTGAAGCTAACATAAAAATTCTCAGAAGCACATAGGCCATTTCCTTTTCACACAGGCAGATAATGCTTCAGCCTTCAAAGTCCTCTGGCAATTATTTCTGTAATTATTCAAATAAGTAATGCTTAACCTTAAAAAGTATTTTCAGAAGGGCATGGTTCAGCTCAGGTGACTTGGGCTAACCAAAACTGCATTAGCTGTAGAGGATAAAGCCTGAAAAACACACTTGCTATGATGCTTCCAAAAAGGATAATGAGGGCATAGGAGACACTTGCAGGCTCAGCAATTTGTGCTATAAATAACACCCAGCTCTTCCCTGCCCCTAGCAAATTAACCTCCTTTGGCTTGTTAGGCTAGTTAGATTACAGCTGCTGGCTGTAAGAGACCTCTGCATTGTTAAATGAAGTTCCTTTATGTTACGGGGATGTAATCTCTACCCAGTATTTTATGCTGTATCTAGCTAGGTTTTATTTGATTTTTTTTTTTTCCCTATCCCCACTGTCTCCTACCTCTTATTTGTTAGTCCAGTGAATGGCTGTTGGTCCAATCCTGACTACAGATCTCTCAGCAACAACTTATTTCTTTCTCCATCTAAATCTCTTCATTTTGATAAAATCAAAACCAGAATACAAAATTACTGTATTGCATCCCTTCCCCCCCCCCCCCCCAAAAAAAAAAAAAAAAAAAAAAGGCAAGACAGTCTTTTAAATTATATAGCGCTTGCACCCTTTTCAGTAAACTTTCCCATTCTGAATTTTTGGGAGGGAACCTACTCCTACATCAAATCTTAAATTTGCACACAAAAATGCTGACTTCCTCTTGGCTGTTTTAGGAAGAATGTTTCCTGTTTTCCTTTTTAAGAGAATTAGAGAACTTCTGTTCTACTCTTCTTCCTAAAATCCCTTTTTGCTTCTCTTTCCTTTTCCTTGCCATCCTACTGTTCTCCCCCGCTCATTTTTTTCTTTAATTTACAACCTAATTTCCTGTCACACATGTACCCTCAGAATTTTGCCTGCTCCCGTGAGGCTCTCTCTGCCTTTACTCTGCCCCTAGTTCTGCTGCTATGCTTCTCTCACCTGTACTTTCATTCATTACCTCCACCAACAGCCTGGGTCCTGCATGCCTTCATGCCGCATCTTGCAGACCATGCTTTTCTGATGTCTGGAGTCTCCATCCCTTTTATCTGCTCAACCTGTGGCAGAGGTGACTCCTGCCAACAACCTGAAGACAAACCTCTAACTCAAGTTCAGCCAGTAAATGGTCTGGGCTCTGAGAATAAGACTTGGGGGCAGATGTCACAACAGCTTTGTTTCCCTTGGTCAGACATGCAGAGACTGATGTCCTAGGAGGCTTCAGTGAAAACCTAGGACAAGAAAAATAAGCAAAAGGATGGCAACAGCTCTATTGCTTCAGGAAGCGCTTTAACACTGAGATCAACCAGAAGGCAGCTTGATCCACCATCCACCCTTTGAAAGGAACCCAGGAGGACTGGAAATAACCAAATTTATCCCCCCCTCCCCTCCTCTCACAACCAAAGTTTTGACTGCAGAGCTCAGCTGCTGCAGGCTGCAATTGAAGGGAGCATCCAATGCCACTAAGGTGCTGACCCTTCCCCTGCCTGCTGCCTGGGTAAGAGTTTCTCTGGTCTGCAGGACTCCAGTGATGCAGGTCAAGAGAGAGCTTGCAGCATAGCTCTACTGAACCAAGAAAGAGCCTAGAGGTGAGAGAACTCAATGGTGAGAGAGGCCCAGCTTCTTCTACTTTTCTGAAACAGGATGATAAGAATAAAACTCATCAAGTTCCTGAAGCCTGCATGATTTCCAGCTATTCCTACCTCCCCATTTTCAGATAATTCCCATGTTGTACAGATGATGGTGATTGTTTTCTTCATTAGTGTTTATTCTTGAATGTGTTCCCAGTCTCTCCTTTCTGACACGACATACAAACTTCTAGGGAGAAAGAACTTCACTTCCATTTTTATCTTCTTTCTTCAATATTTTTTGGAGAGAAATCTGAAGTAAATATTACTCTGACATGGTTTGTATTCAAAACCAGCTAGTTTTCAGGGAAGTTAAGAGCCCTGTTAAAAAGACCTCACTAATTCTAGATATCAGCTATCCTAATGTCAGATATCTAATACAGATATCCTAGCAGCCTTGGGGATCTGGAGACATTGTACAACAGACATCCATGTGTTTTTAGTGTTTGCTGGCCTTTTCTTGTCGCATTTGTATTTTTCCCAGTTCTTTTGAGTCTTCTCATGACTCTCCCTACTTCACCACTTGTTTTTCCTGCCTCTGTTCTAATTCCTCATGATGACATTTTTCTCAGCTTCTTTATCTCCTTCCAATCTGCTTAAGAGCTTTGAAATCACACAACAGCAGTTATTCTTCTTTCTGGTTTATTTTGCTGGTCCAATTCTGGGTTACTTAAGCCATCTATCGCATGTGCCAACTACAGGCTGCACTGGCTACATTAGAATAAGGTGTAATGATTTTCAGCCTTGATCAATCTACTATTAGACTCCCTGTTACTGCTGTCTCACTAGCTGCCATTGCAAAACACCAGTCTTTCATCTGTGATCATATCTGAAATCAACGTAACAGAAGCACCACAGAGCATGAAAAGTCAACATAGAGCATGCATTTGTCTAACTCATACAAAACCCTTAATCTAATTTCCTGAAAAACATGTGAAACACAAACATTGATTTCACAGGAGCTTAACTGTGAGTGTAAAACAACATGAAAGCAAAAATGTTACTGTATTTTCATCAAGCTCAAGAAAAGGGAGTGATATCCAGTAGTCAATTTTAGGACAGGAAAGCTGAATGACTCCCAAGTAGTTTATTTTATTTTTAAGAGAAAATTCCCATTCTCTCCAGACTGAGAAATTGTGTTCATTTTCTGAAAGCAGAATAAAGCTATACTGTAGAAAAATACAGGCCTAACAGTACTACTCCTGTGTAAGCACTGTACAGGAGCATGACAGGAAGCATTCTTGTACTGCCAGCAAATAGCAAGGGTGTTTAGCTCTCAGCAAGCACCCTTTCTCAGAGATCTGCAGGGTTCATCACTTGAGAGAACATTTCAAGGTATATTTTTCCAGTCCCTTATGTCCTTCCCGTTCACCTTCTCTTCTCACCTGCATCTGAACTGCCCATCCCCTCTTGACTCCGAGCTCCCCTAAGATTACTTTGTACCACCTGATCAATCTGTTCAACTTCCAGGTCACCCACACTTCTCTGTCCTCAAGCCTACTGAGTACACCTGAACATGCTCTTGAGAAAGCTTACCAGAAGAAATTCAGTAAATTAAACCATCTGCGATTTTTTTCAATACTCATTTCAGCTTTTTTTTTTATCCATAATTTTGTGACAAATTAGATATGTGAATAAAAATTTGTGTTCCTTTCACTTGAAATATAGTGCTGCAAAAGCAGTATGTATCTGCTTTGGCATTTGGCTATAAGTTGAAGTTATACTAACCACCTTCAGAATTTAAAAGTATCTCAAGATATTTGAAGATGACTACATCATTCTGAGGAATCTAAAGAGAGATGATACATAAAGATCCCATACCAACTTCTGGTTATCCTCTAGGTTTCAAGGAGTATTATCAGGCTTTCTTGTAGGGATTCAAACACCTGTTCTATTTCAAATCCTGTGCTAGGGGATGGAATTCCTTCTGTAATCATGGAAGATACTAGTAAATTCTCAGGCCTAGGTGAATTAAATCAGAGGGATATAGAAAAAAGGAAGATTCACTGATCTGTATGACAATACAATTTGACACAAATTTACACATGTGAATTCTGAACTAACAATCTTCCTTACTTAAGCAGTGATTTAGATTCTATTTATTTTAATGTACTAATATATTTCCTAGTTTCTTATTCATTTAACTATACTTTTGTTATACATGAAATAATGAAACCTTAGGCAAAGTAGCAGAAATGCAGTTGGCAGCAAGAATCTCCTGTAGTTTCTACTGAAATAAGTTTGATCTATAGACATGGCTAGCTCTTAGTCACCAGCCAAAGCTTTAGATCTTACAGGTCCCAAATATATCAAGACACATTTGAAGATTTGTCTTTTGAAGGCTACAGGCACAGTCTACCTGGACCTCTATTAGATTCTTATAGGCTTGCCAAGATTATATTACCAGCAGCTGTAAAAATTACTCAGCTTATCCAAACTGAAGTAGTGCATTTCTCAGGCAATTGGTCTTTTGCTATAAAATTAACGGGTTCAAAAAGCAGACAAATTAATTCTGTTGAAAATCATTTCTCTACCAAGTTATCAACATTTTGTACAAACCAGTAGCATTATAACCAACCTTAGCACATAATGACTTCAGTAATCTTTGTTTAGATTAAACTGACTATTAAATTAATATCGAAAGATAATCATGTTCACCTCCCTGCCTGGCTCCAGACATATTTTCCTGCTGCTCCCCTTGCACTGATTGCACTATTTGCAGTGTGGGAAACTAGGCTAGCAACAACAACAAAAAATTTAGCTTTCAGCCAGACTGGTTCCCTGATGCAACTCATCCCAAACCCACAGGCATAAGAATGGCAGAAGGAAGTGGTGGGACGAAGTGGCAGGAGACAGTGGAAGAAGGAAAACTGTCCAGCTCCTTTCAACAGCAGACTGTACTTCTGCCAGATTAAAATAGCAGTATAATGACAGTCTAAACTGCTGTGAACAAAAGAGGGAGGCTATTTTAAAGGATATTTTTTTCCTTAAAGTTTCCTTAGTAGAACATTTGTTTGCTAAAGAGAGAACATTCAATTATGACAAATTATGGAAAAAACAACACATGTTTAAAAACTCCTTGCTATGTCAGAGTAGGAGATCTGAGTGTGTTTAATGAGCTGAAATGTTTGAAGAGTTATAACAAAACAATTCAGGAAAACTTTTAAACATATATATATCCATAAGAATTGACAAACTTTCCTAGAGGACTCTAACTAATTAACAAACATTGCACTTGAACTTCCAGAGAATATATTTTCTGCACTCAGAGCAAATACTGATGTAGACCTCATAAAAATACAGTTGCTAAATGCTTATTTAACTTGCTAAACTGAAACATGGAAACAGAATTATTTGAACTCTTAGTACATATCTTCTATGTTCCATATTCCCTGGTATGGTTTTTCAAAACTTTTTTTATTGTGACTCTGTTTCTTCCTTTGCTTCCTAAATAATTAAATAATCCAGAAAGCTTCTTTCTTAGAACTCAGTCTCCAAAGTTCTTCACTCCTCTCTACAGTTCTGCCCTTTTCTCTCCTGAGTGTATCAACACTAATCGCTAAAATTCCAAACACAAAATCAGGGCAGATTTGCAGTTGAAGAACAGATTTCTCCTTAAGACTAAAAGACTGTTCTAAGTTCATAAGAAACAAGTTTGTATATAGCTTCCATTTTTAAAAACATGGGAAAAAGGAAATGGTGAAATGGTGGCAGGAAGTCAACATAGGTACTGTGTAAGTGAATAAAGCTTAGTGGCTATATTTGGTTTATGTGTAAAGGATTTGGTAGCAGGGGGGCTGCAGGAGTGTC